ATTTTATCATATAATTAGAAATATGAGATTATGTCTCTATACATAAATATTATATATTTTATTTTACACCAAAATCTCTATTTTCTTAATACTAATTAGGTCACTGAAAAAATTTGTTGACCTCTTGTTTGATTGTTTCTTGGCAGTCGGGTGCAAAATTTAACTTTTTTGAATGATCGACATATATGTAATGTCTATCTGTAAGGAGTGCATAATTACTTTTGGATAAATTCCGAAGATATATGCAGAGCTCCGAGCAAATATGTTTTGATTTTTGTGAATAAATTTCACATATTCCAACTTTAGCTCATCGGATAGTAAAGATCCAAGCTACATTGTTCACGGAGGATGTTCATTTGACAAAGGAATACAGATTAACTTTTCTGTTGGTGAGGGTTGCCACGATATATCTTCATCTCAGTTGTCAAAACTCTAAATGCTAAAAGTCATCGATAGGCACGACTGAGCTTGTCTGAGATAGCACGATCATGTTATTTTTCAATCCCCACATACAACGCTAGCACTAGATGGTAGTAGAAATTTCACATTGAGATGTGGTATAGAAGCCACGGCATCGACAATTGACTAGAGAGATTTCTAAAGATGACATTGTATGTTGATTCCAATTTGACAACTATGAATTGAATTAGGTGAGTCATCTGTCAGGGGAATACTTCTAATGTGATAGGGAGAGTGATTGTTCCCTCGACTCTCACCAGCTGGTTATTAAAACGGTAAAGAGGTCTAGTACCAAGTTAAAGTTTTTTCTCGGCCAATCCTAGACAAAGAAAAGTTGAATAAATAAGACATCGATTGAACTTTCTTCGTCAATTAGGATTCTCTTTACATTATAACAAGCTTCACCAATTCCAGTGGTTATAACAAGAGAATCTTACCGAGGAATTTGGACCCCTCAAGATTAGATTCATCAAAGGAGATAGAGTGACTAACTTGAACCTTTTTTATGAGGACTCTTTATAGGCAGCGATAAGAACCAGCTTGAATATTAATGGTCCTCCTGCGATCGTTCTGATTTTGCCGACTGCATGGCGATTCCCTTGTTGGTTTTGGACTTAATGCCAAAAGTATGGGTGTTATTTGTATGGGGATCATACTTTATATGAATTATCCTAAATACCCTTATCGAATTAACAGTTCGATCTAATCTTTAAGTTGATAACATGCTTTTGGAGTTATGGCCACGACTTTGATGAAAGTGACAATATTATTACTAATTCCCCAAATTTGGATTTAATGGAATTGGCCATTTAAGAATTTCCTTATCTTTAGTTGTCATCAAAATGTGAACAAGTGATGTGTTAAACGACATGAATTGCTTCTCTCGTCGAGATTCCCATTTTTTTGGTCGAGCGGGCAAACCATGGTTTGCCCATGGCTCATACTTCTTTCGCTGAGATGCTTGAGCAATATCTTTAATCTTGTTCTCACACTTTCTTGTGAGTTAATGGCTTCATCAACTGTAATTTGTGCTTCAACACGATAGATGACTCGCATTAAGGATGAGTACAAGGGATTAGGATATAGTCCTCCTAAGAAGAAGCCTCTTAGCAAATTTGAATCTACGCCTAGGATTTGATGAGCTTAAATAAAAAATCTCAGGAAATAATCTTTCAGTGACTTTCCCTCACTTCAACAAATTCTAGAGATGTGAGGAGACTTTGACAATCCTTCGATTTGAAAAGAATTGCTCCACAAATAATTTAACAAGCTCAAAAAATGTATGAATGATCCCATGTGATTGTGAGCAAAATTAAGTAGTTAATTAAACTTTAAAAGTGGTAGGAAAATCTTGACAAAGGAGGTGTCATAAACTCAGTGTATGTGCATGATGGTTCTATAATGATCAACTCATAAGAGTCAATACTTGGAAGCTTGAACCCTATTGAAATATGATATTGAAGGATGACCTTAGCTAGAGGAGAAAACTTTTGAGAACTAAACGAAGCATGGAAACAAATTTTATCCCTTAAAGGGAACTCTTCGTAACTCATCACGGAGTACAGGACGTCGAGCTAAATTTTACACACGTGTTGAAGGTTGCTTCTAGGCTTGGCTACACGAGGATGAATGTGCAGAGCTAGCAGTGTCCAGGAGGTCGGCTTCAAAAGGATGAACTTCAATGTGTGGAGGGAGTGTTAACTGTGTACCTCTAATTAGTGGAAATTAAGGTAATTATGCCCCTCTAGTTTGCACTATCGTCGTTTGTCGAGCCACACTTAAAAATCAGAGGATCTCAGTTTGAGATTTCTCCATTCTTCGTACATGAACATCAAGAGGTGCAAAAGAGTTTCATTCGACAATTGGGTGATGTATATCAGTAGGAAACAAAGTAGAGGCTTTGTGTCCCTGAACTCTGAGATTGCTTCTTGGAATGGTGGGTATTAGAGCAAGAAGCTTTTGTATTGTGTTTTTTAGTAATTGATGTAGTGTTGGCTTCTATAAATAAGACTTAATCCCACAGACGAAGTCAAACTGTAGCATGTCAAAAAATTTGTAGCAATAGAGTAGTTTTTTATTGTCACAATGTTGTATGAAATCCAACAAAAAGACACAAATAAGAAAATATTGAGAAAAAAGACATCTGAATTTTTACGTGGAAAAACTCTAGAAGAGAAAAAGTCATGGGGCTTAGCCTAATCAAATTAATTCACTATATTTTTGTAAATATAGGGGGTACGCACTTCTCTAGCGCTAGGGAGAACGCAGTTACAATCTTATACTGAAAACTACAATTAGTTTTATATAGCTAAAAAAATACAAAGTGTTAATAAATCAACAACAATCGTAGTCTAGTTACAACGATTGCAAGCAGACGCCACTGACATCAGGTAGTTGATGACGGTCGATGGTCAGTAGCTACGAAGATTGGTGGTCGATGATGTCAATGATTGCACAGGCCGGTAGTTACTTGTTAGGTCTTCTCTCCATAATAGATTCTAAAATTTTACTTATTATTCTCCTCTTCCCCTGCTCTCAATGAAGAGATGGGGCCTATTTATAACTTTTTTAAGAGGGGCGTTTTAGTTTTTTTTGGCACATAACCTCCCTAACAATCTAATCAGACGGTCCATAATGATCCCCCTTGATCATATATGTTCTTAAAGATTTACGTGTCTTAATGACCTCATAATTAAACAGCTTAGGCTTGTTGAATTCCTCTCGTCGAGAAACTCAATTTGATTATAAATATGTCAAATTTGGTGTTCATTTAACCAATTAATTGATGATCTAAAGCCTCAAATTATGCTTCAACAGCTTGATCTAGGCTTGATTGAACCCGGATTAAACCAATTTTAGAGTTGTAAGATTCGTCTTTTTGAGGCGCTCGGTTTGATTACAAGTTTGATGAAATTAGAACTTAAATAATCATGAATTTATATCTTGCTCAAAATGCATCGAGATTCATGCCTGATGATAAAAATTTGTTGATGACACAATACTAATGAAGAAAATTATTCTAATCAGCTACAACGTGAATCACCTTACATCTAAAGTCATCTAAAGCCTCAAATTCCCCACTATTATATTTCACATAAAGCACAATAAGCAATTGGGAAAGCTGAAATTACTATTAAGAAGATTAAATTTGTTTCGCAGCATTGATCCTAGTCGTACGTCGATATCCAAAGAGTGATGATAAATTATAACTTTTTTGAAATTGTAATTTTAGACAAGTTGTTTCAAAGATCCAACATATTTCAAGATACGGATTTCGATGATGGATACTAGAAGCAAATGATACAAATTAAAAAATTCATTCCATCACACATGTATTATTTGAATTAAAAACATTCAAAATCAAATCCAACATTATATGAGCTCCAATTTCAATAAATGTACAGCTAAACTAAATATCCTGATCTCATCCTATTCTGAATGAATCAAAATCAAACATTTAAAAATATAATTAAAAATTATAACATTAATTAAAAAAACAAACATTCTCTGAATCATGTATGCTTGCAGTCAAAATGAACATCTCAAAAAGAAATTCAACGCAACAATATTATTGAATTTTAAAGTAATTAAGGCACTTTAATGATGAAAAAAATCTCTATATAAGTGAATCAGCACAAAACATCCAATCATGCTTTGAAAATTTTGCCTAAATTTATTAAAATACGACTCTTAAAAAATTAGAAATATATCCCTTATATGAAAAAAAACTTAATTTGGAGAAAGTGGGAAGATTTAAGAAACTCTCAAACCCTATTTAACACTCGACACAAACGAACATCACCAACAACAAATGTCGTAGCACATTCGCCTTTGCCCAACCATCTTCGTCTTTGCCTAGCCACCAAAACGAGAACACCATTACCCGACCTATATTGCTTAACCATCATCATCATCACTCTTCACTAGGACTTTCTAATACAATGACAAGAGATCAACCAGATTTATGTACTTTATAGTCTCGTCTCCTCCAATTGAAGAAAAGAAAAACAGCTGTAACTTCACTTGGTAAAATATTTTGACTAAACCATGCCACATAAGTTTCCCATTTCTAAAATTTTTACATAAAAATTCTGGTCTCTGTGAACTTCTTTTACCCGTGTGTATGAAATCTTAGTATAAAACTAGGGCATAAAATTCTGTCTACTATCACGAATATTCAAGCACCTAGTAAACACAAAATTATATTTTTCTTTTGGGAGATTTACATACCTACCACCTAATTCCGATGTATCAACATATCAACCATCAAAATTTCAAATTTTACCTACCAAAACATAGGAATCAAGTAGTCTGCATGTAAAAATTAAACTTTGGGAAGTCGAAATGTTAATACATAAGAAGTGGGTGCTAAGTATGCAAATGCCCCTTCTGTTAATATTATTTAGTCAAAGAAACCCTAAAGTATGTTCAACAAATTGATGAAAATACTTATCAAGAACGTCGTATTGCTAAAACTATATATAAAACATGGTTAAGATACAAGGACCGAACAGCTTCTATCCAAGACAATTGAATCATCATTCTCAGTAATAGTTTTTAGAAATTTAACAAAATCAAAGTGTCTTCATTAACAAGAACAATAACACAAAACATAATAAACTATTTTGGACAAACACTTTAAATTACAGCGTGTACCAAACATGGATATGATGACTTCCTCTACTTGGTAGCCTGCGCGATCATATTGCTCAAAGAACTAGCCTGCTCCTTGGCAGTTTCAACTAATGAATCCTGCAGATTAAAACAGAGTAATCAAGACGGCAGCTGCATTCTTAGAAAATTCTAAAATTGCTGTTAAATTTTTAAACATTGCAATGCTAACTTGCTAAGATTATTTGGAGATTGAGAAGCACTGTCCATTTCCTAGGGCAGTAAAAATATTAAACATGGCTTGGATAATATAATTTTGAGATTGGCGCCCATTGTTTGTTGTCATTTGTGATCACTTTCTGTAAATTTTTATATATATAAAGAAATAAAAAATATTGGGCATTCTCACAAATTTAGGGGCAACTAGAGTTTACTTTTATTTTATATTTCTGTTTCATTTTATTTATGCTTTAATTTGAAACATATTAAAATATAATTATTTTTAAAAACACTCAAAACAATTTTTTAAGTATTTTCAAAACATTTTAATTTATTTTAAGTAATAAAAAATAAAAACATGTAATAAATACACTAAACAAATATGCTCTTAAAACACGAGAAAAACAAAAAAATAAAATTAATTCCAAACAAACTAATATCTAAAATGGCTTGTTTGGGGTCACTTTTTTTTTAAACTTCTATTTTAAAAATATGTTTGTTTAGTTCATTTTTTTTTTATATTTTTATTTTTTGATTTGATAAAGACATACCCTCGAAATGTTTTTTGAGTATTTTTTTTAAAACTAGACAAATTATAACCAAACCAAACATGATTTAGTTTAAATCAGAACATAAACAAAAAATTTAAAAAAAATAAAATAAAATCAAAAGTGATCCAAAACCACCTATTCATATAAAAAAAAAAGACATGCTTGAATTTATAGTTTTTTTAAAACTTTTTTATAAGCTCGTAATCTTCTTTTCCCTCTTCAGTTATTTGTGTTTTGCTTGAATCCAGATTGTCCATTCGAACAAAAATAATGAATACAATCAACAAATTAATAAAAGTATATATTGAATGCAAAGCAATCAGAGAGCTTTGAAGGACATGATGAAATGCTTCAGCATCATATTCAGATCAAATTGCATCATCCCTTTGCTTTGCTTGGATCAAACACTTTTAGAGCAATGCAAAACTAAAACGAACAAAGAAAGCCCAAGATTAAAACAAAAAATAATATAACATTGGCGAATATTTGAAAAAAATAAAAAAGGTAGAACCTCAATCCATCCATTAGAAATCCTTTAACATTGCAATTACCAAGCACCTGGTAGAAATTTCATATTGCTTCCATAGATAAGCCATTCATAGGTGCTAGAGCATAATTGCCAAAAATTCTAAGAAATATCATGTACATTGTATAATTAAATCTAACAAACTCTATATCAATAAACGAATGTATAAAATCAGAAACTTTTATGGTGTTTATTTTGGAGAAAAAAGAGATAATTTATCTATAAAAATTTTGTTAACATGATTTGCGAGGAAGGATAGACAATAATTTGATCATCTATTAATGGGATGAGCTCGAAAGTATGAAGGGCAACTGTCGTCCGGTCTCAACGTCAGCATCTCCCAGAAGGGAAAATAAAAAAGGGGCATTTACATACATACCACCCAAATCTTTCATATCATATAAAAAATACCACCTTTTAAAAGTGAACAACACCTTTTGATGTGTAGGCAAGGTAGTATGTAATAAATATTGAAGTTTAGGTCTTAGAAATGTCAATACGTACAAATTGAGTGGTATATATGTAAATCTTTTACTAAAAAATTGAGTTAGCGGAAGACAAAGCGTGATATATCTATCATGATTGGATGGGTGGAGCTTATAGGGAGCTGTAAGGTCGTGGAACGTATTTTAAAAACACTAAAAATAGATTTTGAACTATTTTAGTATTTCTGAAAATGAATTCAAATTTATTTTAAAAATAATAATAATAACAAACAAAAAAAAAATATTTTCAAAACAAAAAACACAATAAAAATTGATTCCAGACAGGCCCTAAGTAATTAATTAAGTAAAAATATATTGTCATAAAATATAATTGTAAGAATTACAGCACAACATGCAACGGTTTTATGGATTAAAAAATTTGAAAAATGAAAGGAAAAAAAATTTTAAAAGAATGTACTGCGAGTGCATTGAATCTTTAAATTAAATGATGTGCATAATATAATATATTTTTAAAGTTTAATCATAATTCAAGCCAATTTAATTGTTGCGTTCCTTAAAAACTATATCTATAATAAACTAAATTTGATTATAATATTTATTCTTAATCCCTCACTTACAAATTCATTAAAACAGAACCATAAAAAAATGAAGTTCCATGATTATTTCATCAAATTTGCTTATAAGGGTGTTCAAAAGGAAACTTAAAAGTCCATTTATATGATCAATTCTAAATATGCATGATTCATCAAGAACTCATTTAAACTGTTTAGGTAAGTTTTCAGATAGTACGGCCATATATTCATCATATTTATATGATTTGTTTATTTTTTAACATTTTTATCATACTATTTACTAGAAATTAGTTATAAGTTATTATCAATAAGGATTAGGATGCATATAAGCAGTTTTGATTCAAGGACGAATTTGTAAAGGGTAAACTATTAAGTATGATAATTATAAGTTTTTTGCAGACGTGAACCATATGTATGTGTAATATAAATTACGTAATAAAATAATCATGTATGTAAATTTAAAAATTCTTCAAAATGCTTCAAATTTTAATTGTAAAAAAAGCAAAGTCGTTTAAAATTTTAGAATTCAATAGAACAAACCCCTACAGATTTAAAGTTCATTCAAGATTTGATGCTAATACAATCTTTAATTCATCTGATTTGACCATATTTATGATCCTAATAAAGAAACCTTAAAATCTTCTTTCTTTCCATCTGCTCGGCATGTCTTTGAAGTTAATAATTTGACATACAAATCTATATAACTTGTTCCTGAAGTTATTATGGATAATGAAATTGTCTCTACTAATGGAGATATCTAATTTACTAAAATGAAAGACTTGCTTGTGAGGACTACAGAATTATTTTGTAAGATGCATAAATGGATCAGAGCTAAGTTTATCCAAGTCCTGCAGATTTGACAATGAAATGTGTGTTTGTACTTCACTAAAATATCAACTAAGAAAAATGATCTGACCAAGTTTACCATAGTTGTTTTATTTTATTTTATAATATTCAATTTTAGATATTTTGTATATGGCTATGAGGGCAGATGTGTTCTCGAGGTTAAGTGTTGTCATACAAATTGAAATTAAATTAAATTAAGGCAAAAGTGTGGCCATAAACAACGTTCATGTGGGCTATGAAAAGAATTCTGTAGCATGAATTTCACAGTATCTTTTGCTGCTATAGAAGGATTTCACAGTTTTTCTATTATGGGTGACTACTGCAAAGGGTTCTTATTACTTCAAGCTTTTTAGGCTTAAATTTTTGTGTAAAATTTTTATCGTAGTTCACCACACTGCTGCTATTTTCAAATTCTCAATGGCACCAATATGAAATTTTAGAATTAACTTGAACTAAATAAGGCTAATTTTGTGATAAACATATCTACTAACTTGCAGATGATAAATTTTTAAATAAATAACTGAGAAATGTAATTTAATTCTGCCATGATTCAATAAATTTTCAATTTTTTTAATTAGATGTGAAATACCTATGGTGCATGTGATAGATAACTTCCAAGCAAATATATCCCGTTATACCAACATGAGACTTAAATTTTTTCGACTTGGTTGAATTATTACTCAAGTACCGCTTGGACTAAAAGCAAAATTTTATATAAGATGGTGGTGGGACCTGCAATGCTCTATCGCGTTGAATGTTGGCCTTTAAAAGAGAAGCATAATACTAAGCTAAGTGTTGCTGACATGAGAATGATTAGGTGGATGAATGGCTTTACACTTAGAGACAAAATGCGAAATGAATATATCTGTGATAGGGTTGGTGTAGCTCCTGTGACGGACAAAATTAGAGAAAGTCGTCTTAGATGGTTTGGTCACATTAAACGTCGACCATCAAGAGTCTAACCATTTTTCTATTTCTAACTAAAAAAGCACTCATCAGCCGTCCCCTTTCCTATTCTTGCTTGCAGCCTCTTAAGATAAGAGAATAAGTCCCGATTAAAGTGGCCCGTCTGCCATCTATACCAGCTGTCATGCACGACTCCATAGGAACGATTTTTACACCCTAAGAAGCACAACGCGTCATCACCTACAGCCCTTTCCTTTGTCGGGGACTGAAATAAAAACGGGTGGCATCGTCGTATGCTCGAAAACAAATCAGTGGGGTCATGCTGGTATGACAGAATATGCATTAGAAAAGTGAATCCCTGCCTCCCTTTTTTTAGTCAAGAAGAAAAAAACGGGTCGAACTTCTAAAAAGCAGCCCTCCTGCTTCCATAGAAAAAGATCGTGGCAACGTAGACCTGAGTGGGCTTATTGGATCCTCGGGAACCATCACAAGTACGGCCGGCCTATAGAACAAGAATGTCGTGGTGTCGTCCAGTGGAGCTTAGAAGAAGGTTACTCGGAGCCTAGAAAAAGAAAGGTTACTCACGCAGACATTTGACTCCTTTTCAATAAAAAAAATAGACAAACCAACCCAATTAAGGGTTGGTTGAATTATTACCCTGATTTTTTTCTTCCTATTTGTTAGTGATGTGTTAGACTCTTGATTTGGCCCAATTTACTACAACTAAGACTTTAATTGTGATACAAAAATTCAATTGCTCATTGATTTCTTTCTAGTTTGAATTTGTAATTGATTTATTCAAGTTAATTGATCATTAAATTATTGTTCGGATTCAAAATTTCAAGTCTTTTTCTAGTTTACACCTAACGAACATGATTTTTTGTGCAACTAGTAGTCCATATTCTGTGAACCCTTATTTCTTCTATGTGATATATATTCATTGTATTATCCTAGTTGCATAAAAGCATAAACCCTTACAAATCATACATCAGCATGTCATAATTCTCATCATCATTATTAATCTTATCTCACCTATTTGGGATCAAAATTATACATCCTCATTTCTTAAATGTATTCTTTGCAATTCATTTTAAATTCCTTTGATTCATTTAATCTTAGGTTTACCACTTTTTCTACATAAATACAGGGTACTGATTTCATTAATTTGTCTAACAAGTGCATTTTCTATTATTATTGTATACATCCAAATCATTTAAATCTATTTTCATTTTTCAAATCTTCAAAAAATATCATTACAACATTTTCTCTAATATAATCACCGCAATTTATCCTTCTTAATATTTTCACATATCTATCTTATTATTGTCATTTATATCTCGCTCGGTTTAAAAAGCAATGACTATTTTTAGCAAAAAATTTGAATCTATACAACAATAATAAGTCTAACTAAGACTTTATAACATTTTCTTTCAAAGCCTTCACGATATCCTTTTGTCCCACAAAATTCTCAAGTCACTTCTCTATTTTAAAAATTAAGCTCAAATGTAGAAATTATATTCTAATCTATATCTTCATTCTTTTTCATAGTAGGTACAAACCATTTAAACCTCTTCATACCCACTAACATTTATATTGAAGTCATTTTTGTTATACAAATTCAAAGGCCTTAATTTCTAAATTCTTTCTTTATTGTTCTAATTTTCATTTATTTCAATATTTGTCTCACCAATTAGAACTATATCATAAAAAAAAAAAAAACACATGCATAGGCATATATATTCCATATTTTAGAAAATACATGATTTCTAAGTTTAAATTCTTCTTAATAAATCTAAAAGAAGGATTAGCTATTTATTATTTATTAGTTAAAATATTAGGAGAATATCATATTATTCCAATTAATTTTCAAATTTTATTGAAATAAATATGTTAGAATTCACAAGTTATGATTATAATGTATATTATTATGCCTTATTTGCATGCTATACTTTTCAATAATATACATGAAAAGGATTCCACTAAATATTTTTTTTCAATAAAATAAAGATTAGTAGAGAGATGAAAACATCAAGAGAATACATTATAATTGGCAAATTATAATGCATAAACTACCACAACAAAATCAGCACGCTTACAAGCATTTGGTAACTAAGCAGGTATAATCTGAGCAACAGTTTTATTGTTCTACTCAAATTTTATGTGAAAAAATATATTATAATTGAAAAATTATAATACATATAAGTCCTAAACTTTTCAATGACCGGCCTTTGTGTTCTTGCATCATAAATGTTGACTTTATAATCATGCTAAGGGATTGCTTAATTTTTTCCTTTTTTTCTCAATATATCAGGAACTGTATGAGTACAGAGATGAAAAAAATTAAAAGACATCACAAATATCACAATGAAATTAGCAACGCTTATAAGGATTGGGCACCTGAGCAGCTACAATCCGGGCAACAGCTTTTTTGCTAGACTCTTGGAGCTCACCAGCAATCAGAATCTCATCCAGTATATAATAAGCCTGCATGTTCCTAAATTTATTATGATATTGAAGACCAAAATAAGAATGAGAAAGGGAATATATGGAAATAATATCACACCTTGTGAAAATTGAAGATCAAGTCCAGCTCACAAACCTGGAGAATAGAAAAATATTAGATGGCGATATCAAACAGAAAGCATGCTATAATAAAAAAACGGTTTTTACATACATACCAATAGATTCATATGTATTTACAAATCTAAAACCTAAACTTTACTTTTTACATTTATAGCAGTCAAATCTTTCATATCACATAAAAAGTGCCACCCTTTTAACTTTTAAAAAGTTAAATACACTTTTCCATGCATAGGTAAGGTGGCATGTAAGTAAAATTAAAATTTAGGTGTTTAGGTATTTTAATACATAGGAATTGACTGGTATGCAAGTAAATTTTCCAACAAAAATATTGACTAACACTGCCGAAGTATCGGTCAAGTATCTCAACAAAGTGATGAATGATTTCAAGGATTTCTAGCTCATTATCATCAGCATCGATGCACATGCAAAAGTAGAGGCTAGCATATCTGTAATCAATTTTTAACAGATATTAGACAGATAAGAACGCTTTTTAAGGAATCTGAATTGCATCGATAATAAGAACAATTCAAGTTACCTTCTGTATACAACTTTAAATCCTCTCCATTCAACGAAATTGCAGAGCTTCGGGCCTCTCGTGAGAATTACTCCACTAAGCTCACGGATTACCTTTGCAACATAATGAAAGTTATATCTGCTATAGAGTGAAGATAATCATAAAACAACAGACAGCAGGAAGGGAAATCCTAGGATAAATCTTTACAAATAAGCAGAAATAGAAAAATTAACAGCAGCAGCAACTCTGGCGCATATTTTGGTGGGAACTTTTTCTGTTGGCAACAAAGCGTTAGCAATGAGAAATTTCATTGCTTAAGTGAATATCAAATGTTTTTTTATAATAATTTAACATATACTTCGCAGAAAAATATTATGATTGTAGATCTCTCCAAAAATCATAACAATAAATTTAGTTTTGTTGAATTTAAATGGATGCTTGCAACATAATGAAATATTTGCTCAACATATGTTTTTTAATACTAACTATGGTTAATTATACTTAATTAGAGTAGGACAAGGGCCATTGTAAGTTCCTTTAAACAGTGATCAAAATACTCTTATCATCTAAACTAACAAAAGTTAAAATTAATAGTTTTAAAAATTAGGATATCATAAGAATATATATTTTCTTTCATAAGTGTAAATTCTACTTGATTTCGTCATGTACAGAAACTACGCATACAAAATGAGTGGATATGCTCATGCAAAATGCAGAGTGAGTCAATTTTTTACAATAAATAATTTTATTTGCATTTTAATTATCTTGAATCTAATGTAACAAAAAAGATCTGATATATTGCATTTTAATAAAACCAAGATAACAAAAATGTCAAATAAATTTCTTTTTAACAAGAAAACCTAGCCTGCAACCTACAATGTTCTCAATCTACTCCTGTTATATACAAAATTAGCAGTTGTACACAATGAAATCAAATTAGTAAATTATATTTATTAAAAAATTCAATGACGCCGAGCTCGTGCCCTTTTAGAGATTCCCCAATACCGCAGAATTGAAACTTCCGCAACCTCAGAAAGACCAAGCGGGCAATTTTTGTTTGATTGGCAATTTCTGTTGGCATCCTTGCCATTTTTTACTTATTTCCTTTTTTTTTTTTTTGGTTATTTTCTATTAGGAATCAAGATTTGTTTCTATTTGGCTTGTTTTTATTTTTGAGTAAAATTCAAAATTTCAAATTTTGGGATGTTCATGATGAAACAAATGCTATATGGGATTAAAGTAACAAACAATATTAAACAAGTAGTAAAAGATGTACTTAGAGAATCAAAAGAAAAAATTTCTATAGATAAAAATAAGTTGGTGGTGGAATAATAATGTGCAAAAAAAGAAAAAATATAAGAAGTTATGTTATAACAATTGGTTTAAATGTAAAAACTTAGAGAACAAGGAAAAATATCAAATGACCCGCAGGGAGTCTAATAATATGTGACCCTAAAAATTCTGTTTTTAATGATCTTTATAACAGATTAGATACTGAGGAGGGTGAAAAATAAAGAGAAAAAAGTAACGATTTAACTCAAGTAAATTATATTAAAGATGAAAATCAAAATGTGTTTTTCTTAGAGAAAGATATTCCACATAGGTGGGTGAGTTATTTCGATAAACTTTTTAATAAATTTTCTGAAAATACGATCGACCTTAGTGATCTTAATATCGTTAATAATAATAAAACATTTTATTTTTATTGTCGTATCAGTAAAAAAAATTGAGGAGGCTTTAAAGAAAACTAAGGTGGAAAGTATGTAGGACCTAATGATATCTCAATTGAAGTATGGAAATGTTTAAGAGATTTGGGAGTTTCTTGGTTTAATAAACTCTTTAATATTATTTTATAAACTAAAATGATGCCTGAGGAGTGGAGAAAGAGTATTTTGGTCCCCATTTTTAAGAATAAAGGATATGCACAATAGTGTGCAAATTATAGCGGAATTAAGTTGATGTGTCATACTTTAAAATTATTGGAGAGGGTAATTGAACATAGGTTAAAATGTATTACAAAAATTTATCACAATCAATTTGAATTTTTGTCGGGCAGGTCTACTATGCAAGCTATACATTTATTGAGAAGTTTGATGGAGAAGTTCAGAGATAATAAGGAGAATCTACATTTGATTTTTATTGATTTAGAAAAATCTTACGATAAGTTTTCAGGAGATATCCTTTGGAGAGTTCTTGAGAGAAAAGGTGTTGATATGACTTATATTCATGTCATTAAAGATATGTATACTAGAGTTGTTACTTGTGTTCGATGAAAGAGGATTAACCAAATATTTTCCTATTTTTGTTGGATTACACCAGTGATCGGCTTTAAGCCCATATCTTTTAGTTTTAGTTATGGATGGTCTTACTGGACATTTACAGGAGAATGTAACTTGGTGTATGTTTTTTGCTTATGTTTTTTGCTGATGATATCTTTTTGCTGATGATATCCTTCTCGTGGATTAGACAAAAGAAAAATTCCAAGAAAAACCTGAATTATGAAGATCTACATTGGAGTCTAAAGGCCTTCATTTGAATAGAACTAAAGCTGAATACATGAAACGTAATTTTAGTAGTAGCAGCTCTAGTGACAAAAGTGCAAGTTTGGATGATCAAATTATTAAAAAGTGTGAACGATTTAGATATCTCGGTTATGTTGTTCAAAGCGATGGTGATATAGATGGGAATGTTAATAGTATAATTCAAGTTGGTTGGTTGAAGTGGAGGAATACTTCGGGCCTATTGTGTGATAGAAAAGTACCGTTTAGACTGAAAGGAAAATTTATAAGACAGTGATGAGACCTGCAATGCTCTATAGCGTGAATGTTGGCCTTTAAAAGAGAAGTATAATACTAAGTTAAATGTTGCCAAGATGAGAATGATTAGGTGGATGAGTGGCTTTACATTTTGCGACAAAATGCAAAAGCAAAATGAATATATCCGTGAAAGGGTTGGTGTAGCTTCTTTGAAGGACAAAATTAGAGAAAGTCGTCTTAGATGGTTTGGTCACATTAAACGTCGACCATCTGATGATCTGATTAGGGATTAAGAGAGTAGCTGTTTTAGATATAAAGACTTGGGCTTATTGCATAAAAAATTATCTTAATAGAACTAAATGAAAATATGACACTAAATAGGACACAATGGAGAAAAAGTATTCAAGTAGCCAACCCCACGTAGTGAGATTAAGGCTTTGTTGTTGTTGTTGTTGTTGTTGTTGTATTTTCTATTATGAATCAATTTATATGTTGTGTTTTTTTTTTTGACATTTTTTGCTCGGTTTGGTGCAATTTCGAGATTTTACTCTCTAATTTCTGCTCTTAGAAGTGGCGCATCAATTTTTTTTGCAAATGAGGTGTTTGTATCTTGTTTAGGAACACTCTTAGAAGTGGCGCATCAATTTCTTTTGCAAATGGGGTGTTTGTATCTTGTTTAGGAACAGGTTCGCCTCACTGTTTTCAACCAAAACAGTCGTCGAACTGTTCAAATCTGCTATCTAACAACAAATTTTGCCTCCGCCATCTTCAAACCTGCTGCCAACTGCTGTTTGGCAACAGAAGCTGCGTTTCTCTTCAGATTTCGGCCGGCATCATTCCTCCCACTTTCCTTACCTACCCCTTGTGTTCTTTCAACCTACTAGGAACCTTAGAACTGTGTTTTCAAAATAATACAAGTAAGATTTATTTTAAAAAAATAAAAATAAAAAAACATTCTCTTAAAGTACCCTTATGTTTAACACCAAAAATTTTGATTTTCATTAGTTAAGTGGCAAAACTATTTTAGTCCTTTTTAAAGAAACTTATAACTAAATCGAGGATTTTATATAATCTGAGACAAAACAACCCTAATAAATATAAGAGAGGGACTATCTTGATAATTATCACTATATTTAATTAAACCATTTAATGTTTATTATTGATAAAAATTACACCTTAGTAGTTAGCGTAGAACGTGAAGCCATTACTTAAAACAATATATACTACTAATTAAATTAAATTAAATAATGCATAATTTTTTTTTATTAACTTAGATTAAAAATTTTATAACTAGCCTAGCACGAAAGTTTAACTTCCTATTAGATAATAATTAATATTTAATTAGAATAATCGTGAAAATGATCCATGGCTTACTGGTTAGAGAAGAAGACTTTTTCTAAACTCTAAAGCACAGGTTTAATTCACATAATAATATACGACTGTCATTCAAAAAAGAAAGTATAACTCATATTAACTGAATAAAAAATGATAAATACCTGACAATAATGTATTTATGACTAAAACATAAATTAAAATTTGTCAAATTTCTTATCGTAGAAAGGACAAAAAAACTATAAATTTAACAAACCAGCCTTTTTATGAATTTAGAAGAAGGAAAAACATATATCTAACTGCCCTAACTGGTGAGAAATCTACCTATGCCTACCATACTCAGTACGACCCTAAAGCAAAATTAGAGTTATAATCCAAAACTTATTCTCTCATTCATCTCATCAACCGCAACCACAACCCATGTCACTGCTGGAGTAAAAAAATAGACTCTTTTGTTAATTACAAGTTCATAATTCCATCGCATAACACAATTGTAGGTTTTAATAATACAGCCATTCTTCTCACCATCCCCATCTGTGGCGAGTTTTTCCACATGCATGATCTTATATATAACATGACTTTAACCATAAAATTTAAATCGAGTTTTTCTCTTCGGAAAAATTATTAGCAACAAGAGTTTTGGATTTTAGAAACCATATTATTCTGTAGATAATGAAAGCTTTTTTTCTATCATAAATGACAAATATATAATCATAACAAAAAAAAAAATTACAAAAAGGTATAAATGCCATAAAATGACCCAAAAATGGTGGCCCCGACTATAATTCCACTAGAAGTCTCCAAAAATACAAAATTTCAATCTAGATGCATAGAAACAGAATTTATCCTCTGTAAATATACATCACTACCACTGATGAGTAGACAAGTCATCATAGTCCCTCATCTCAATTCTTTATCGCTCAAGAAAGCTGTAAGCATTTGCTTTAAAGTCCAAAGACTAGGTGTGTATGGTTCCAAGCACTTTCATAACAAAGTTGAATGAGTACAGGAAAAGCGAAGTTAAGAGAGTCTGTGCTACAAAATGAGGTTAAGCACAGAGGATCATTAAATAGTGGGAGAAAATAACATGGCTTGTTAGTACACTTTTTCGAACATGCTCAAAAGTGAAGAAATAATGACACAACTTGGTACATATAATGAATAAATCATTCAAGATTATTCAAAAGCAGAGCTAAACACAAGTAATTATTACTCTCAAAAGAGGACTACTACACATCATACATATCTATGAAATATACTTTCGTCAATACAATATGAAAATAAAATATAAATATTTATATAGATAAGATATAGATATTCGTTCAAATGGGTATCACTGACCAATGTAAAACTAAACATTAGCATAAGATGAATTCCAACTCATCTAAAGGGATTTAGGTCATAAAAAAGGAAATCAAACTACAAATTTGTCAAGTCCGGTCACATAGCTCAGTAGCAAATGGGCTTTAACTAGGATGTCCTAGCACCATAGCTCAATGAGAAATTACATAATAATAATAAAACTAATAATGCAACTGAAAATGAACATTCGCAATTGTGAAAACATCACAATATTATAAAGATCATGTTTTTACTTCTAGCACGAAAATGCATAAATTCTTGCAGTTAAAGTTTAAGTTCCCTAAGAGGAAGCACCATATATATATTCAAGCTAATGATACAGTATATGTGCAAAAGATTCCAAAGCTAATGTGGCGAAACATCAACCGGCAAATAAATAAAGAATATTGGATGAAACAAAACACTGAAATAGAAAAAAAATGAAACTAAAAATAAATGTGCACCTTGGATCTTTCCTTCTGTGAATATGGAGAGTACCACTTTGTAAGTCTAACCTTTCCTTGACGACTTAGTAGAAGGACAAAATGAATCTGAATATAGAAAAAAAAAGGTGTATGTCTTAGTAAATGTGCAAATAGATAAAAGAAGATTCAGGAAATTCAAATTTGATGGTTTTTTTCAAGCATTTTATTAGCTTCAGTTTTTACTATATGAAACTTTATACAGAAAAACAGTCAACTCTACAACTAAATATCCAGGAAAAATATTATAAATACAAACAAATAAAGCAGCAATCATGCATGGAAATCATCATCATGCTCCGCATTATCCAAAGCACGCATCAGCAAGCACGCATGGAGATTCATCTTTGAGATAGTTTGAAAATGTTTCTTCTTGCTATTCCAAACAAGTAAAGTATTAAAATAGCCCCCTGACTATTTACATGGGATCATTTTTAGTCCCAGTGCCTACAAAAGTGTCAACTTGGTCCTCATAATCTTTTAATATGGGCTAAACTAGTCCTCAATGAGCTTATTTTAACCCTCATTAAAAGAGATTGGGACTAAATTGACAGTTTATCAACCCTAGGATTAAAATGATTCCCCTGCAAAGAGTCAGGAGGCTATTTTGACACTTTTCTATATCCCAAAACATAAACAAACTAAAATGACTTGTTTTTCTATCAATTGTTACAACCAAATCACCCATGTACAACCGCATCAATTGAGTTTCTATCAATCCCTCAAATCCTATTAGAAAATATATTTTTCATTGTGCCACAAAAACTAAGAAACACTCCTTCCTTTGTAACATCTGCCCATACAACCAATTATTTAACCCATATAACCCGACCCACTAAAACTTAGCTATGAGCCACAAAGAAAAAAAAATGCAAAAATAGGGCATGAATCTTCTTTATCTGCCTAAATTATCTACCTCTATTTGCCTACAGTTCATGCAGATTGATTCAAACTTTTTTGAGAAAATATCCAATTAAAGTTATTTGATTGTTGCAATGGCTCCTATGGCAATACTCTTTTATGGATGTGTTGTAAATGTTGTTTATCCTTTTATCTCTCTGTGGGATCATGGCCCCTACATCTCATCTTCTTTGAGAAATATTTTACCTTATAACTTCTTCTTTGGGATGAATATTACTAACTTATCTCTCTGCAGCATAATACCCCTCAGTTCTTCTTCCAACAGCATTCAAACTCTCCAAAGTAAGGTTCTTTGCAACTTAGGAAGACTGACGATGGGCAATCTTAGAATATGTGTTCATGTCATGGCATTTTTCATGTAATAATCAATTTGTCTATATTTGTTTCCCAAGTTTATATGTGGTCCTTATGTGTATTTAATTCAATTACCATGGGCAATATTTGTCCTCAGTTCTTTAGCCCAATTTTTAAATAAAAATAAATCTACTTAGAGAAATCCGCAAGGAATGTTACATTCCTTCACAGCAAATAAGAAACATAAGGGGATGTTTGGTAGTGCCTTTCTAAAAGGATTTATCTGGATATGAATTTAGCACATATCCAACCAAACAGTTAAATTTACCCATGTAAATCCAATTTTCTTCTCGTTTCACCATAAATCCAGATTTACAAATCTAGTTGTTCAACGTGTTTTGTAAATCCGGATTTAAAGGATTTACGAAATCCTATTCAAGTTAAATTCTGCTTGCAGCCAAACAGCTCGAATGCCCCAAAAAAAATTAACCACAATCAAATAAGCACCACACATATCAAATAATTTAAGGTAATTATCATGTAATAAGCACACAGATCTAAGAGAAACTTTAGGCATGTCTAATAAATATTCAAGTACACCAAAACCCCATAGAACCACCTTCGCCGACTGAAATTTAGGTCGTTCAAGATGCAGGCATAAGCAACTCGCCAAATGCCAAGATCGAAGCACGATACGAATGCCAAAAAGGCCAACGAAAGCTTTCCAGATGAAATCTAAGATCGTTTTACCGATCCTTGGAATTGTTTTGACCTTACGAATTGAGGCAAATTATCAAATAAGTACGATTGCAGATATTTTTGCCATAAATCGAATTCCAAAAGGAGTGCACGCACCATTTTTTTTCAACCACACCCGGATCTTCTGCCCGCAGCTTCGACACAATACACCGGCGAAAAAGAAAGAGATGAGGTAGATTAAAAGGTAATAAACAGGGAAATTTGATTATACAAGAGCGGATCTACTGGCGCAGCAGCGATCTGCCTCCCCGACTTTATGCGCTGAGCGCCGCCTCTTGTATCCCTCTTTCTCTCTCTGTGTATGTTTCGAGAAGCTTATATGATGAGTTGGTTGTTTTGGAAACCCACTTATAGGGTAAACTGTGTTTTGACGGCTTATGTGTTTTGAAAATGCTGAAGGCAGAATTTTCACACTGCGGTAACTGCTTTCTAACAGCGGCTTAGCTTTTCTCAAAAAATATAAAATTCTAATAGTCATTGCATCTAGCTTATTAGCAGATTATTTTTAATCAGCTTATCAGCAGATTATTCAATAAGTTGCAACTGCCCTAAACAGACCCTAAGGGTCCATTGGGCAGCTCGGCGGGCGCATTTCGCCAAACGCATTTTTCAGGATAAACAGCTTATTTTGAAATAAACAAGCTGTTCTAAACGGACCCTAAATAACACCTAAAATATTATCAGTCTTGCCAATGAAATTCAGATGCAAAATTTGGTCGAAAAGATTTAATAATAGCTCTTTTACATCCAAATGAAATCCATTCGAATTAGGCATGGGTGATCATATTTTAGGTATTATTAGTAATATTATATTATTATTGTAGTGATGTTTTGGTGAAACAATACTATGAATGATACTTAAAATATTATGAGTCCTACATATGGAATCCATATGTAATAATCACTCGAGAAAAAAATTATATCACATTTTTTTAGCAATTTTTCTGATGAAATAAATATGGTGTGAAAGTAATTTATTATATTTTAATTTGACAATACTACCAAATTTGATCAATATATTGTTGGCAACATCTTTTGATATCACGGACGTAGGATATGTGCTTCAATAATCTTAGAGTATATTTCACGCACATATGACTCTTTGAGGCTCAAGATACAAGTCTTTGATCCTCTGGCAAGTGGTCAATATCATTTGGTTAGGCTTTGGTTGTCGATGAGGTGAGGCCCGACTGACATTACATTGACGGGACTATCCTGATTGAATGAGTTTTTGGCATAACGGACAACGAAGATGCTTTTGCACTGTCAATCTTGTTTAGGGAGGGCTTTTCACGATCTTGTCACGTGGCTTATATTACTAGAAACAGGAAAACGGCCCCAAGTAAGCTAGATGTGACCACACTTAGGAGTAGTCATGCCCCATTTGTGGCTTGGCTGTGCCACACCCTTCAGCCAGTTTTAACTCATTTCATTAATTGCTCCATGTTTTGCATATGGACACCTTTCGACCGTCGGGATAAGCCAATCTTAAGCCAATAATAGCCTTTGAGCTAATTTGGGCACTTGTCAAAAGAGGCATGTGGTCATTTGAACCTCTGCACCCGAAGAATATCCTTCCTGCGGGAGAGATTTGGACAGGGCGAGCTCATTTTGACTTAGGGAGAACTGGGAGTTCTTGGAGAGCTTCTTCACCCTTCTTCTTCTTCCTCTTCTCTATTTTTTTTTCTTCTTCCTTCTCTCGCGTTTTCTTTCTCGATCACCATCCTAGTTCGAGAAATTGAGGGGAGAGACAAAGACTTGAAGAGCGATCACATGAGTGCTTAGAGAGTTTCAAAAAGTTAGCTTCTCCATTCTTCTTCTTCTTCATCCTCTCCTCCATTTTCCTTCTTTTTCTTCCTCTCTCATTTTTTTTTGGCCACTATATTTGTCTGAAAAATAATATAGAGGAAGAGGAAAGTGTGGTGTTGCGTCGGCGCCAGAAAACTCGTTGCAAGAAGAGCTTCGTGACCCAAGAGAAGCGGGGGTTGATACTTGGAGCATTGTCATAATCTTTTCGTGACGAAGAAAGCTTCTTCCCGAGCAACGACTATACTTTGGTCCACCACCACGATGGTATAATTCATACATTCACCCCACTTGTATGATTCTCCTAAGCGAGGATCATCACTCTTTTCAGGTCACTGCCTCCACGGCACACCCATCATTTGGGTTATTGTCTCCATAACATGCCCATTCTTTTAGGTCACAAACTTCATGCATACCCATCCGTCGGGCCTGCCTTGACGACACTTCCACCCCTTCATCGGGTCGCTGCCTCCACGACACACACACCTTTCTGAGTCAATGCCTCTATGGCACACTCACTCTCATCATTTTTCACATGATTGCTTGCATTTGCATTTACATGCATGCATGGATAATGAGTCAGACTCGATAGGTGAGTGACCCCATGTTGATCGCGATGTCTTAACAAGCATTCTTTGTCAAGTTGATCCTGACGAGCAATGCGATTTAAAGCATTAGGATTGACACATATATGATTGTGTTCAGGTTCAAAGGGATCTAACTCATATCACCTTCCACGTTGCGGTCTCGCATTTAATGGCACTTATATTCAAAACTAAAAAAATATATTCTTCTACTTATTATATTTACCGAATTTTAAAATTATGCATGTAGCAAAATAGGTCATATGTAAGGCCAACTTTTTTCAAAATTCATTCTGGGTGACACCCTTTAGTTCCATTGGAAATTTACGACGGGGCCAGTGTGGCAACCCCATCAAAGTCATACGTATTCGACGTCTGATCCTGCACTTAGATGTTGGTCAGGACATTTTTTTTTTTAAATGGTGTGCTAGTTTAGGATTTAGGATGTTAGGTAGTATTTCATTTTACGCCTCTCGCTATTGTCATTTCTTGGTTTGTTTGTGTTAACCATGCATCACTTTTGTGCTTTTTGATGTGCTCATATGCTTAATATGCATAGTAGTATATTATGACCTTCTTTTGTAGGGAGTTGAGCCTGTACACACACACACACACAGGTACCATTAAGGGGGAGCATGTAATAATTTCTACTAACCTTTTGGTTGCAGGAGTCATTTAGCTCTCCCAATGAAAAGGCTTATATGTTGCAAGTTTGTTGGATTTCTTACTAAAATTATTTCCATATGGGTTGAGTCTTTATTTTCTCTTTCAAATGTATTTGATAGAGTTCCTAGACTGAGTCTATGCCATAAATAAGGTATGGGTATGGATTTCGAGAAAGATAACACGTTGAACCACGTGACAAGGACTATGAGTGACAGCTCGAGTTTTGCATCTTAAGTGTGAATTATATATTATTTATATAGTTTTAGGGTCAAACATGTATATGTGAAGTATGGGCGTTTTTCCAACTTTTTCGGGGATATGTCGCCAACTCAACATCACTGACCTTTTTTATATACTTTCGAGTGCTTTTACTTTTTATTACATATTTGCATGTTTGGTCTGTTTTTCTTGTTTCTTTCTATTCTATCTAGAATGTCACATAGATTACAATTTAGGTTCTCTAAAAACTTAAAATCATAATTTTTTTTATATAAACATCTTAATAAGAGATTCAAGATAAATTAAAATTTAGAATTAAGAAATTCAAAACTTTTTTAAATCTGTCTTTTACTTTCCTACATGGCCTACAACCCGATTTATAAACGAGTTGCATTGCATGGGCATAACCTAAGTCACATAATAGGGTCTCTACAATATCTAAGTACCGCTCTTGATATTAGTTTCATTTGTATGTCCCGGGAAGAAGCCCCCCATTTTTTTTCAACCCAGCCGACCCATCATAAATTTATACTTAGGTGGTTATTTAATATGCTTAAAGTGTTAGAGGTTGCCTCAACCTAGATGAGATATAAGTCCTTTTGTTTATAGTTTTTTTTTTTTGCTTTGTAGTTGAATTTCCCTTTTTCCTCTTTTATATCAGCATCTTTGTAATTTCGAGGAGTATAAGTTTCTTCTCTTAGAGCTCTACCTGATAGTCATAGGACAGAGTTTCATTCCTTTGACTTTAAGGCTACCGAAATCCCTATGGATGACGCAATTCATGGATTTTTGTGGCTCTCTAAACATGTTGGGTCCACAACCTTCATGACCAAATAGACTTGTGGTCATAATAACTTGAGATGACGGGTCTGTGTTACATTGACCCAGCTACCTCTACATTTTAGGATTACTCTACCATTTTCATTGTTGAGCCCCTTTGAACCCTATCATAACTTTGACTTCATTGATATTAACTTGACGACCCAACTACCGATGAGCTGCCGCTCGTTTGGGATACAATGATTCACTCTATGCCCTTATGGTCTGGTGAACTCTAACATATAGTGATATCCTCATTGAGATGATTTTGCTTATTTCTTTGGTTCTGAAGTTGATGAGTCGTTATTCATTTAGGATGTGAGAGAATCACTAACTGTTATGTGTCTTAGCGAGAACTTTGAAGCATAAATGCATTCTCATACGAAGTAATCATTGTTTGATGGCAAATTCTTCAAGTTCATGATAATATATTCCAAACTTCTTTTATCGAGAGTATTCTTGAATATCTCCCATGATGTAATTAACCAGAGGAATACATTTCTCTGGAAGACTTTTGACCCTAGAACATAAATGTTCTTTTTGGTTATTTGATTAAGAGTGGCTTGTATAGGGATTCTATTTATGGATGGCGTGTTTCAAGGTGCTTCAATTCGATCCTATTCAAACGTATTTTCTTGACTCATCACACGAAAATTACTCATATATAAGTTTTCTGCTTGTTTCTTTTATTTGTTTGCTTATTTGATATCGTATTTTCCTCTTTTAAATTACTCTTCTCTTCAAATCATTGATATGATTCGAGAGTGATATTTGTTTGAATAAGGAAATTATACGACAACATATAAATAAACAAATTGATGACTTTGATTTCTCTAAAACTAACCAAAAAAAACATATATTTTATAATAATTATGATTGTGTGTGTTACTATGTATGTTCATTTCTTATACGAGCACTTACAATATCTACTTTGTTTTTGCATATGACAAGGCCTGGTGTATTTTTGAGAGACCTCTCTGATAAAAAAAAATTTACATAACTAAAAACCTGAAATTAAAATAAAAAAATTCAAATGAATCAAAATTAAAAAACATTGAAAAATAATCAATAAAATTTATTAGAAAATTTCAAAAATAACAAACCATCTACACTTGCATTTTGATTTATTCCTTATTTTTTGCATCTAGCCCATTGTACATAACTAGACAATAGGGTAGTGAGAATGATTGCTTTTCTTGAAAAAGTTGTGTGTGCGTGTGC